ATATATTCCATAATAAAAGTACACATTACGTTTTAACGATATAGGCCTACTGTCGGCGTTGAGTTAGTAAACACATTTTGTTTCCAAATACACCAACATAGTGGGACTTTCCGGAGTGGCTATGAACCTAAACAACTGCAATTATAACATGTTGTTGATAGCCAGGAATACGCGCATGTCCCACAAACATGCAAGTCTACGTACGTTTATGCAGTTTAAGGTCCAACCAGACTTAGCAACAATATCCCAGGGGACTAAAAAAAGTCAATTTATTTGAAGTAGAGATCTAGTAATGTTTTGTGGCATTCTATGGTTTAAATTGACTTCATTTTAATCCTTTTTAAATTCTGCTCGCTTGTGTCTGCCTGTATTTTAAACATTCATTATTTCAGTTGGAACATTTGTTGAGTAACCTTAGTAGATGTGTACCGCATCGTTAAAAAAAATCTCCTTATCACCCGTGAGGGTTCGGTCACCATTTACTTTTTTTTCTATACTATGAAGCAATAAAAATACGAGGACCGTACCTAATGATTACTGTGTAGGATCTCTGGCCGGCCTTAACTACGTTGGCTACGACGATTTTAGTGGATCGGAATCACCATGAAATAAGTAGGCCTAAAAACATATGCTGACGACTTATCGGTGCGATGCCACAAAGTAGGTATATCACTATTTATACTAAGACTGAATGTCAGGTAATTATCTAAACCTATAAATATTACAATTGATTTAGAAGAACTGTCATGCCAGTAGCGTTCAAACCCTACGGCTTTCGATCAATGAATTCATTACTATCGGTTTACTCTCGTTCATGTTTTATAATTGCGACTTGAGTAGCATCCGGGTAACTCCACTTCGAAACGAAATAACACCTGTTTAGTGCAAGTTAGCGTCACACAATGACATAAAGATGTTTTCTTTTGTTATTCTGACATTAAATATATAGGTTATAGATGGTTACTTTCCTCACAAAAAAAACGGTTCCGATTACTATTCAACATATGATGGCTTACTCTCGGTCTATTTCCTAATGATACATTATTGGTTCCTATGCCTTATGATGTAAAGCAATAGGAACCGTTGCAATCGTCCATGCACGTGCGTTCGTGCGTCTGTGACGCTGACGTAATAAGAGGCGAAAGTTTGTAAACAAGCAAACTTGAATTTCCAAACGGTATACGTAAAGGACCTACTCCCAGGAAACACAAAACTTAATTACAACATTCGCGAACGCTGTGATTAGGTTATGCCAGAAAATGACGTTCACAGAGCGCTGCAGACGCGTTATTAACGCTATTAAGTTAGAAATAACGAATTGTGGTTTTTAAAAAATGTAACGTTATATTACATCATTATTATATCGTAAAATTGTTAGCTGGGCTGTAGTGTGGTATATTTATTTGTATCTAATTTATAATTAGACGTACAGTAAACAATGCAAACTTAATTGAAAAAAATAATATTTTCATATTAAATAGGTCTACATAATTTGTTAGATTAATGGAGAGGCCTATCTATATAGATGAATATTCTCTAATAATAGAAAGAGCTCTATTTCTTTCATGTATACAACATTATATCACAACCCCTATAGTTTACTGTATGGTGTGTGAATATGGATAGGCACCGTTTGGTGATCAATGGCTAAGGTAAACCTGATGAACTCGATCTCCCATTGGTCTCTTATCAGTTGACGTCATGGTATATTTCAAGTCTTATATCCTTGATCTAAATGTTAATATTATCAACTAATAAAATAATTGTAAAAATATATTAATTATTATTTAACTTTACGTTGAATTGAAATTTAATAGGCCTCACCTGATTTAACTACAGTAAGTTATTGCTTTCAATCAGAAATACAGTAATTCCTTTCATAATTATCGGATACACTGTATACAGTTTAGACCAACAAATTGCTGATAATCATTCAAAGTAAAATTTCAGCAAATCAACTAAAATGTCAGTAAATGCCAGTAGATCTGTGTTTATTAGAAGTTGATAACGTGCTTGATCCTGTAGTATAGGTTTACGTATTTAGACTTCCAAATTGCATGATAACAAACCAAATTGGAACAAACATGTCTTAACTTAGTTTTGTTTGATGATTCATCCAGTTTGCATAAATTTAAATATTTTACAGATAATATAATGACGACATCGATTCCTCATATTTTTTGTTTTTAAGTCATTCGCATTCATAAGAACTATAACTATACATAAATAACCTCATATAAAAACACAATCCAAAGAGATCATTTCACTTACCTTAAAAAATACTTACTGCACAGTCCCAAACCATTTACAAACGCAATTATGGCACTGGTGTCTTGCACTTGTACAGTATATTCATAACATGAACAACCTGTCACAATATACAGGAGGCGTCATGTAAAACTCAGGGGAAGTGCGGGGATGAGACAAGTGGCCATATATTGCTTATTTAACCTTTCCTGAGTTCGGGAAAAATACTTAAAAAATTCAAAACGTTGAGATGTAACGATAATTAGAGAAATAAAACATGAAGTGATGAGACGGGAAAATCAGGTGAAAACGAGGCTGATCACTTTTTTCAGTAGCTTGGTAGCATTTTCTAACCAACTCATTAATATTCAAGACCAGTCTGTCAATTTTGGCGAGCAGCTGATCGAAAAATCGTCCCGACGATCGAGCAACTACTAGCCCAGACAATACATAACAGTAGTGTGAAGTTGTTGATCGTTTACGTACGCAGTTACAGAGAGACGGTTTAGTCAACGTCAATTCAATCATGGAGGAATAATTCAATTGAATTAATAAACGAATATCAGTCCGATGACTGTTTGTTTATAATTAGGCCTATGCCTAGGATTAGCACAGTCAGTGTCTACCCAGCAGCAGTAGCGCACTCCTGACCAGGACACTGCTCCAGTCCCGCAGCAGGTGAGTTCGCACGCAGCCTTATCCAGCTGACGGTAAAGTTAGTAGGTTTCTACTACTAGCCTAGAATTGTCGGTGCCATAGCGACTTTGTCACATTAATTAATTTTTTTTCATAATAGGCCTAGGCCCCTAGTAGGCCTACTAATAATACTATAAGGCCTAGTTATAGGCCTGGGCCTATGAAAAACTGTCTAGAGACTAGGCCTAAATGTCTACAAACTGCACTGTCTTAAAATAAAGGTGATGTGCTATAACACTACAGTATATCATCAGAGCCAACACCAATTCCTCTAACAATAAGATTATTATTGATATGTAGGCCTAGAAGCTAGGCTACACAACAATAATGCCCCATTAAATAATAACATGGTGCATATGTTACTCCAAACCTAACTTTCAGCTGTTGTTAAAATGTGGAATTCAAATAAAATATATAACAGTATATATATTTTTTTGTAGGACAAGATATGTGATATGCCGAAACACACTCTGGCCACATAGGTATTTGCCAGTTGCCATGATGAGACAAACATACCACAACATTTGCCATGAGTACAACCACCCAACATTGGCATCTACAAAAGAAGGTGGTACAAAGCATACAAGCACCCAACGACCTAAAGAAACACTCTGGTTGTTTGCTGAAACTTGTAATGAAAGCTACACACAATTTAAGGTGAGCAAAAGAAAATTAAGTGAATATCTCATCACTGTTCAGCCAGACTACATGAAACAAATATATGGAATGGTAAAAAAATATCAGCATGGTGTGTCAGTTTTATTAAGAGCAACAATAATACTTTACACACTAGCAGACAGGAAGGCTTCAATCAAGTAATTAAAAAATCTGAAAATACTGTCAATTGATGAATGTCTTTCCAGCTTAGTATACAGTATCTCAGTATGGTATGTTATTAATAAAGCAGCAAATGCCAATGTTTGATAAAATTTTTGATTTTTAACAAACCTGGTTTTGCATTATTGTAACTAAAGTATACTTATTTCTCAATAGGAGCAAATGACAGGCTCAAATGGATGTGATGCAAACAGTCCCATCTGTGTGGACATGATGAAATGGACATATTCAATCCATGGTTAGCAGAAGGTGGTGATGCTCAGAGCTCTGCAGCAAGTGATTGAGCCCAAAATATTTCAAAAGAATTAAATTAAAATGATTTATCTAGTGATTTTTTTTTTCTGAAGATATACTGAATTGTTTTGTATTTTGTGCATCTGGTTTATATTGCATGCCAAATTTATAATAAATAAATAAATACTGTACCAGTATTACTGTACCTGTTTCATTTGCAAAATATCTTTAATATTATTAAATAATAATACTGTAGTGTAGTTTTATATAGCACACAAATCCATCTAATGTAAGATGCTCAGGGCACTTGAAATGTGGACTAGGAACTCGATCAATGACTTTCTTTGCCCCTAAGGGTCCCTTCGTGTCTGTGCTACCCGGTAACCCGGTACAAGCAACTATCGTCGTCCACCACCAAAATGGTATAATCCCAT